GCCAGATAGGTAACAACTAACCTAACGGGTAAACCGTTGAACCACTATTCAGTCTGCGTAGACTCTTGTCTACAAATCGTGATAGTAATTTAGGCGAGTGTAAACCAAGAACATCGCAGGGGGGAGAGAGAAATACCCCTAACTAATAACTTCAAAGGAACTCACAGTAACTGAGGGTACTGGCGCCTTCTCGGACAAGGAAACCGCAGTCGCAAGGTCTGACTTAGAATCCATCTGAGTGCCTGAGAAAATTTGACAAAAGGAAAGTAATAAGAACTCGCTCGCAGACTGCAAGGTAAAGAAAGAAAGATGGAAACATACTGGTAGGTAGAAATAGGGGTATTTCACAGGAAACGAGAAAAAAACTACTTCGCTCACCAGGAGAGCGGGTGCATTGAAAGACTGTGACTTTCGGGGAAAGTGTCTTCGCCTCGAGACTGAGAGCATAGGAGTCTTCGTCTGCCGCAGGCAAAAGAAGCAAACGTTGGATACGTCGCAGTTGAAGCTCGTCTGTGACGGGAAGGGTGAGCCGATGATCCTTCTGTGGACTAACGGCAGCCGTACAATCCACGTAAGGGAATGTATGGACCGAGGGCACTGGTGATAAATCATCTGGTTGCAAATACATGAAAAATTGAGGTAAATATTGACAATCTAATTAATACCAAGACGAATTAATTGCGCGGCATAGAATAAGCCGGCAATAGTTTGGCGCACAGGATGGATAAAATTACATTTGTGTAGTGAAAAGCCCAATAAAGACCTCGAGAGAAAAACGACAGGCCATTATTAAATCGGAGATTAGATGTTTGGGAACGAAACTTTCGTACTATAAAACTGTGTTTCGGTAATTATTCGCATGGAAGTATACTCGAGCTGACGAAGCTACGCATTTTACTTTCCAGCATTGTTGTTTATTACATACACATATTACCTGTGGTAAGTAAAATATAATTGTTACTTACCACATGTTAGTAGACAGTGTTGTTATCTAGCATACTCAATTGGCTTTTCGCTAATTTGGCATTGACACAAGCGCACACTAGAGCCTTCAACTGTCTTTTAGGAAAATGACAAAATAAAGCCTTCTTTTTCAAATTAGGGAGGAAAATCGCTTTTATGTAGAGGTTGTGAAGATGGAGGTGTTGTCAGTGGCAACGACTTGCGATTTCAGCTAAAGTGACTAAGGCTTAAATTTGTCCGAATTTGGAAGAATCGCGCACTAGCACAAAACGTGGTCAAAAAGCCATCGTTTGGCCGTTTAGCACAACCCCGCTGCCGGATTTCTTCCACCTATTCAACGGCCAATTAAACTGCCACCACCCACAAGGATGTTATCCGGCCCAACAATAGCAATTACTAGTACTATTCATGAACTATGGAGAGATCAGGTCAATGGGGATTTGCTCAGCTAGGCTTTCAAGTGCTGATATTTCGGTTTGCAGAAGGAGAACAGGTCAGTCCGACATTCAGTTTATTTTAGAGAAAGATAGACCTATGCCTTTTGAATTTCCCATAACAGTGAAGAGTGAGGCAGTTTCCAATACGCGAACAAAAATTTAGTTGTACTCGGGTACTACTAGGTAATCATTTTACTAGGCGGCCGAGGGTGGGATGTTGCCTCACGCAAAGAGCTAGTAGAACCGGGTGAGGTCTCAAAGCGTACGAAGAAGAAATCGGCATGAGAGTAATATCTCCAGTTGGACGCGTTTAACTACCCGAAGGGAAAAGGAGGGGAAATGGCCGAAAACATTATATATATTGACTGCCCGTTCTCCTGTATGCTTTCTTGTTGTCCCACTTCCCTCCATCTAGCAGTAACATAACTATTTGCCTCCTAATAACGCTAGACTCGTTACCTTACCGCTAATACCTTTGGCATTAACGGTAAAGCCCCTCATATGACACTCTTATATTCGCCAACATCCTACTGCTTATTCTACAGTTAACTGTGCCCCTTTTGGGTGACTACGCCTTTTTTTCCCCTAACACCCATAATATTTGTTTGAATTCCCCACATATTCCGCGTAAACTGGCTTTATCTTGTTGCTTAGAGACATTGATTCTATATGTACTAGTTATATGTTTATAATCCTCTCCAATTATGGAATAGTATCGCTTGTCTAACCACGGTTCCTGGTTCTGAATCGAAGTACAAAGGCAAGAGGTAAACGAATCAAAGTAAGCTGACTTAGACAGGCTTTAAGCAACTAAATCTAAAGAATGCGCGAACTCTGAAGGGCAATTACTCGAAGCGAGGGGTGAAGAGCGCAGTTTCTCTGAGCGGTTAATCTGTACAGAGGCAGCATAATCTGCTACAGACAGGTTCTTGTAGGTGACGTAGTCGGCTGTCAAACAGACCTCCTCCGGGCAAGGCGAGATGGATACAACTGTGCCTATCGAGACTGGACTACAAGATTTGCTGATGCCCGCATAAACCAGTGAAGGTGGCTTCGGAGACTCGATAGCAGAGTGCAGGGAAGACTCGAAGGTTTCGGAGTAGATGGCACTGGAGATAGAGGTGGGCGAGGGACTCTCCAGTCTTGCAGGACCTAGTTTGCGCTTAGATGAGCCAAATAAATGACGAGAACATACCTTGGGAGGAGAGACATATAGGGCTTTTCGAGGACAGCCGGTTAAACTGTGCCTGATCACCATCAAAAAGGGGTGAATTGCAGAACTGCTCTAGGGGCTAAAAACGAAAATGTATTTCACTTTTTTCAAGTCCACAGTCACTAGGAGAATGGATGAGATGGCAAATGATGGAAGCTGTATGGCATCGTATTTACGACTAGGCTTAGAGAGGCCAATTAAGTGCAAATAAAATATCAAGATAACTGCCCTTAGAGTGAACGCAAAAGTGATCTGCAATTGAAATAGTTTTTTTAGTAGGAACGATCTTCCAGGAACATTCACTTCGGAGATAATACACAAGAACCACAAGAAATCAATCTAAAAGTTTTAACGCCCGACCTTATTCTAAATGAGCAAAGTGGTCGCAAAGGAGAGGCTGTGACCCAT